TCCTTCTCACACCAAACATGCTCGCCCTTTCAGCCGTGGGGGCGTTATAATGTGACGGTCAATCCCACTATTCGTTGGTAAAAGAGTAGCCCAAGAGTTGGCGGTGGGTGGTGATGACTAGCTGCCTTCCCTCTAGTCTTACACTGCTAAATTAGGGACGGCTAGCGCAGATAGCCCTCGTGTAGCTTTGCGCGAAATTCAAAAACAAACAAACAAAATAAATCAAAAAGAATGTTTTATAAGATCAACGCCACCTGTCACTCGTTAACTTACAATCTTGACAGATTTTTCATCTTCTACCATACCAGTAACGGTTAAGTTATCTATATTATAAAAATATTTTCAGGTTACTTTATGTAACCAATATGTTGTAATTAAGTGCTTACGGATACCATTAGTTAACAAAAGGTATATATGGTATTGAAAGTAAATATAAAAATGTTAACTATCAAGGTTTTAGGTAAAAATATTATGTCATCAGAAGCACAACGACGATTTGACGTTGTGTGATTAGAAATACAACGGAGATATCTAACACCATGAAGTACAACGGATATGTCGAGTTTGGTGCGTTTAATGAATTCAGATTTTGTAACAATTCAAATATCTAATGCTATTGGTTTTATTGTTAAGAAATAGTTTAACATTTCATACTCAAAACCTTCAAGATATGAACAGTTGAATTGTTTCTTATTTTCAGGACAATAACTTAGCCACTGTTGATTTTCGGGAGTCATGGTCTCGCGGCCTTGAGTTTTCTCTGTCAACCCTTACTATGACAATTGGTTTGATTAATCTGTTAAGGTTTCCTGTTTTACTGCACAGAAATGGAGGAGGTAAGCCTTTTTTTTCTATCATAATTAGAATATGCATGTGTATATGTTTGTTTTTAATGAAATCATTATTAATTAATTTTAGGCCTGTAGTATTTTTCTCGTATTGTCATTATTTCTATTGTTTTCTTAATGGTAATGTCTTACTTCATCAAATTTATATCTCGTTGTGTCAGAAACTTTCCAAATAAGATCTTCCACTCAGAGCAAGAAGCTTTAGCGTCAAGTTAACTTCAAAAGATGTTCAAACATGACTATTAACGTTTATTACAAACTGTGCAATCTTCTTGCATTAACCTGACCTTATAGGACTATTGGTATTAAATATTCTAAGAAAGTTTTAGGCTTAGCGAACAAGTATGTTGACGAGGGTTGAGCTTATGTTTAGATAAGATGGATCTTTAAGATAGTTTTCTCTCAAACGATTTTATTATATACGATCGAACTTACAACATATAGACATGAGTTCGAAATAAAAAGGAACATTTATTCTAGCACATAACACCTGAGCAGGTGTTATGTGCTAGAATAAATGGTCCTTTTTAGAGCCACACGTATCTCATAGTTTGAGACTTAAAGAATCCAGTATAGGAGCGCCAACATTCACTTCATTGTTACTTGTGGTTTTGATAGTAAAAAAAAAAAAAGGATAAACAACTTTCTTCGAAAATAACCTTTAAAAAAATCGGATAAAAACTTCCGGTAGGTGGAACTGTCTTTAAAAAAAATCGGATAAAAACTTCCGGTAGGTGGAAATGTCTTCTTTAAAAAAATCGGATAAAAACTTCCGGTAGGTGGAAATGTCTTCTTTAAAAAAATCGGATAAAACTTCCGGTAGGTGGAACTGTCTTCTTTAAAAAAATCGGATAAAAACTTCCGGTAGGTGAAATTGTCTTCTTTAGTCTTCCTTCCGTCTACCAGTCGTTATATTTTCTTTCTTACGTGGTTACACATCGTGGTTTAATCATAAACTTCCGGTAGGTGGAACTGACTTCTTTAGTCTTCCTTCCGTCTACCAGTCGTTATATTTTCTTTCTTACGTGGTTACACATCGTGGTTTAATCATAAACTTCCCTAGCGGCAAGCACAATATTTCAGGTTGTAATCAGAAACAACATTCTGAGTATTACGAGGGTTGTATGTTTTCCGTAAACAGCGATTCCTAATATTATATGTTCACTTCCAAATAAACAAGTTTTATAACACAGTAACGTATCAAAATCTGTGTTCAGGTGGAAGTTTTGAAATATTACTTGAAACAAATACTAACGGTTTGTTGTTAACCTTCTACAATAAAATGTTTGATCTCTCAAGTACAGACTTCTATAATTGGTTTGGAAGTGACCTTACTGGTAAGTACCACCAGGTTATTACAGAAGTACATCAAGCCGTAGTTCGGAGGTGACCTTACTGGTAAGTACCACCAGGTTATTACAGAAGTACATCAAGCCGTAGTTTGGAGGTGACCTACTGGTAAGTACCACCAGGTTATTACAGAAGTACATCAAGCCGTAGTTTGGAGGTGACCTTACTGGTAAGTTCCACCAGGTTATTACAGAAGTACATCAAGCCGTAGTTTGGAGGTGACCTTACTGGTAAGTACCACCAGATTATTACAGAAGTTTATCAAGCCGTAGTTTGGAGATGACCTTACTGGTAAGTACCACCAGGTTATTACAGAAGTACATCAAACCGTAGTTCGGAGTTGACCTACTGGTAAGTACCAGGTTATTACTACATCAAGCCGTAGTTCGGAGTTGACCTACTGGTAAGTACCACAAAGTTATTACAGAAGTACATCAAGCCGTAGTTCGGAGTTGACCTACTGGTAAGTACCACCAGATTATTACAGAAGTACATTAAGCCGTAGTTTGGAGGTGACCTTACTGGTAAGTACCACCAGATTATTACAGAAGTACATTAAGCCGTAGTTTGGAGGTAACCTTACTGGTAAGTACCACCAGGTTATTACAGAAGTGCATCAAGTCGTAGTTTGGAGGTGATCTTACTGGTAAGTACCACCAGGATATTACAGAAGTACATCAAGCCGTAGTTTGGAGGTGACCTTACTGGTAAGTACCACCAGGTTATTACAGAAGTTTATCAAGCCGTAGTTTGGAGGTAACCTACTGGTAAGTACCACCAGGTTATTACAGAAGTACATCAAGCCGTAGTTTGGAGGTGATCTTCACAGTAAGTACCACCAGGTTATTACAGAAGTACACCAAGCCGCAGTTTGGAGATGACCTACTGATAAGTACCACCAGGTTATTACAGAAATACATAAAGTCGTAGTTTGGAGGTGACCTACTGGTAAGTACCACCAGGTTATTACAGAAGTACGTCAAGCCGTAGTTTGGAGGTGACCTTACTGGTAAGTACCACCAGGTTATTACAGAAGTACACCAAGCCGTAGTTTGGAGATGACCTACTGGTAAGTACCACCAGGTTATTACAGAAATACATAAAGTCGTAGTTTGGAGGTGACCTACTGGTAAGTACCACCAGGTTATTACAGAAGTACATCAAGCCGTAGTTTGGAGGTGACTTTACTGGTAAGTACTACCAGGTTATTACAGAAGT